CCAAGTGGTTAAAAAAAGATTCACAGAATTGGCTAAATTCAAGAATATTAAGTTCCATCCCGGTGCTGTGAGAAAAGAACTGTATCATTTGTGTTCCCTTCATAAAGAGAAATTGCAAAAAATCGTGGGATGATGGTGGTTAGATCAGCACCATATTATTGAGAAGTAAACCCGATTGAACTGATATGGGCACAAATAAAGAGAGAAGTTTCAAGAAAAAATAATTCTTTTAAAATGAGTGATGTTAAACAGTTGTTTTTGGAGGCTGTAAATAATGTGAAGCCTGAAAACTGGGAAAAGGCAGTAAATCATACGATTAAAAAAGAAGAGAAAATGTGGAAGTTGGACAATATTACCGATGAAATGATCGAGCCACTCATTGTAAATATTGGTTGCGACAGTTCATCTTCTGATTTCGATTCTGATTTGGATTTGTAAGTAAGAAGTAGTTTTTATATTAAAATTATTATTTATGAACGTAACGTTGTTTAAAAGTCAAAATTTAAACCCTTATAACCCATTTGACATAATGTTCTTTACATACCTTGTGGAAAAATAAAACATTTTAGAAAAAATTGCACTTTTTTACCTTCAGCTGTTTAGAAGTTATAAGCAGGTTAATTGGGTGAAAATATAAGTGTATACTCGAGGTATAACTTCAAAAAATATTTTAACTGTCTACTAAAAGAAGTGCTACGCCTATGGATTACGAACGCTTTATTATTTTAATACTTTCTCATACATAAAAATAGACTATAACGTTGACCACAGTATTAAGAAGCCAACTGGTGAAGTCGGCGATATTGTGTACCGTGGCTTATTGTCATCAATTTGTAGTGCCATATTTGAACATACTTGTATTTAGTGTCAGTCTATAGAGATGTATTTGTATGAGAAATTAATGCAGTATAAAATATGTCTATTTCATCAAAAAATTACCATTCTTTACCTGTATCAAGATAAGGATTAACGAAGTTAATAGTACAGTAACATAAAATTTATTTTAATTATGACGCTAATGACAAACTACGAGCTATTAGAAAATATTACAAATTTACTTTACAAACATATAACGAACTTAAGGAAGAAATTAAAGAACTAAGAAACGCATACAGTGTAGAAAATCCCAGAACACTTTGCATTTAAATCATAAATTGGCATTCTTTAAAGTGAAAATGTGATCCCTACCTTCAACCCCCTTTGAGTAACAGTTACAAGCCCTAATTTTTTAAATGGGAAGTATAGGCTTGTGATATATCGTTTGAAAGGTCTCTTCATTCTCTATCCAAAAATGTTATTGTTTGTAAATTTATTGCAAAAATTAACATAAAAAAAAAATAAAATTTTATTATTACCGAAATTCTCTAGAGTACCTACACTACTATTTCCCGTTTCAGTCTTTATAATAAGGCAGTACCTAAGCAAAAACCATATCAGTGTTCTTTTTTAATATCAATTTAAAAAAATCCTTTAAAAAACTATCATAGCAATGTTAGTTTGTTTAAAACGCCTTAGCAAATTGGTTTGTAATAATTATAACTGCAGGATATTGTCAATATTATAATTGTCGTTTGAATTTCATAAAAATGGTTAGATTAACAGAAATGCATAAAATAACAGTTTTACAGATGATTGGTTACGGAGATAACACCCGAACACAAATGGAAGTTGCTCGCCTATTTCATGAAAAATTTCCGAATTTGCCGCCTATATCCCAAGGTACAATTAGTAAAATAGAGAAACAATTTCGCGAATTTGGACATGTAAAGCAGATGAAAAAAACAGCTGCCAATGCACTGAGTGATGTTATCAAATTAGATATGATGCTTGAGTTTGAGGAAAACCCACATACATCGAGTAGACAAGCATCTGCAACATTTAATGTCAGCCATACATCGATACTAAACATATTAAATGAAGTGCACTTTTTCCGTTAACGGTCATGCTAATCGTCAAAATTGCCGCTACTGGTCAACGGAAAATCCTCACTGGATGAGAGAGGTCCATACACAATATCCTCAAAAGGTTAATGTTTGGGCAGGGATTGTTGAAAACCATATTATTGGTCCCTTTTTCAAGTTTGGCAAATTTATTTCCTGATTCAGGAAACCCTCAAGTTCCAGCAAATACCATATGGTTTCAGCAAGATGGAGCACCTCCACATTACCAAATCAATGTCCGCCAGTACCTCAACTTAACATTTCCAAATCGCTGGATAGGGATGCGAGGATCAATAGAATGGCCAGCAAGATCACCTGATCTTACCCCATTAGACATTTTTTTATGGGGCTATGTGAAAAATATTGTTTACAAAACTAAACCACGTGATTTAGATGACTTAAGAGAACGAATAATGCTTGCGATTAGATCGGTCACGCCTGATATGTTAATTAACGTTAGAAGACATTTTTATTCAAGATTAGGATGTTGCCAAGACGTTCTCGGTGAGAATTTTGAACATCTACTTCATTGACATTCATATTTTTCATGTTATGAACAATTAAATATTACATATTGAGTGTATTATAACTAATTTCGGTTATCAATTATTTTATTTTTTTTATGTTAATTTTTGTAATAAATTTAAAAACATCAACATTTTTAGATAGAGAATGAAGAGACCTTTCAAACGATATATCGCAAGCCTATACTGCCCATTTAAAAAATTAGGGGTTGTAACTGTTACTCAAAGGGGGTTGAAGGTATGGATCACATTTTTACTTTAAAGAATGTCAATTTATATGTTTCGGGATTTTCTATAAATATGTACAGTAATCGAAATAATGCATTTATTCCATTTGGCTTTTCCACCCTGTATACAAAACAAATAGGTGATCTAGATAATAAATATAAAAATTTAGAAAAAAAAAGTAGTTCAATTAGAAAAAATTATATTGTTCTTGGGTTGCAAAGCCAAGAAAGAAAATCTACTACCCAAGACTCTACAAACTATAAACGAAATATTTTCTACCAGTATTTTTAAATAGGATATTAACCACATTTACAGTATTGGAAGCAAAATCACTATCATCTTAGAGTTCGTATATTTTCTATCAAAACAAATAATGCTCCAAAATCTACGTAAATAAAAAGGAACTGGCATCTCTATCACAAACGACCTACGTCCCGAAGACCAACAACAGCAAAAAATACTTGTCCGCCACCTTAAGAAGACCAAACAAAAAAAATTGAAGACATATATTAGAAATTTTAAATTATATATTAACGGCGAAGGATATACATCAGAAGAGTTGGAGAAAGATAGTGAATTCAACATCCCACAAAATATTAAGGCAAATAAATGCCCCACCATTCCCAAATACTAGGAAATATTAAAACACATTCTCAAATCTAAGCCCCGATCTCTTGGAAACTCAGAAAACTCAAATCCACGAATCAAATAAAAATACTGCATCTTCAAATATAGCAGCAGTATAGAGAGACTACAAGTACTGGCAGTAATCCTCCTAATACGCCAAAATCAGGAAGAAAACCAGTGGATGGAAATATAGAGGATTCTACGGAACATAACAGAACAGAACCAATAAAAAGTAGAGAAACGTGATTTTATTAATTACGTGCTATTAGTTATTTATTTTTCATAATTAGATAATTAGGTAGGCGGATATAATTTATAATTAATACGAGGGTAATTCAATAAGTAAAGAGACAAATGGCTATAGCTCAAAACCGGTTTATTTCAATCTTTTAAAATTGAGGCTATTTTTCAAAATAATTACCCCCCACAGTTATGCACTTGTCCCATCTTTCTTGCAGCTTCCTAATTCCCTTGGCGAAGAATTCTTTCGATTAACCACGAAACCACTTTTGCAAGTAGGGCGTCTTTGAGGGGTCCAAACAGGTAAAAATCAAATGGGGCGAGGTCGGGACTGTAGGCAGGATGAGTTAGGACCTTCCAACCTAATTCTTGAAGCTTATCACGGGTCAGCTGGGCTGTATGCGAGCGGGCGTTATCATCTGGTCTAACTTTTTGTTCTAGCATCTCAGATTAGTATTGGCTATTGATAGTACGCTGATGTTCAAGGAAATTGCAATAGACTGAACCCTGTGAGTCCCAAAAGATGGTCAGCATCACTTTACCGGCGGAAGGTTGAACCTTGAATTTTTTGCGAACTGGAGAGCTAGTGCGTTTCCACTCCATACTCTGATTTTTGGCCTCAGGGTCGTAGTGATGGATCCAGACCTCGTCGCTGGTCACCATTCTTTCAAAAAAAGCGTCTTCTTCAATCAAACTTCATTGCTTTGTCTTGACTAATGGAAAGCCTTGATTCTTTATGAGTATTAGTAAGCTGTCTGGGAACCCATCTGGCACACGTTTTTCTGTACTTTAAATTGTTCTGAATGACACTGTGAACAGTTCCAACACTTACTACTTCCTCAGCTATTATTTCAACAGTAATTCTTGAGCGCTGCTTCTCTAAGGTGCAATCTTCTAGTGGACTTGCCATGGTGAATTGAAAATTTTGAGGTTATGTTGACATAAAGTGATGAAACAGCTTATCAGAGCATATCCCAAAGTTTGCCAACTAATACCCCTGAAAAGATTGAAAAAGATTGAAAACATTCATTGAATAGTTTTAAAATTATAGAATTTGTCTCTTTACTTATTGAATGACCCTCGTACATAGTTTTCTGGACTATAATACACATTCTATTATCTTTAAAATTTTAAACTTCTAATCTAATATTTGGTATCTAGTGAGTGTAGGAATTTTTAAATTTTAAAATAGTTTTTCTAATTATAAGTATAATATTTTTTGTAGTTTGGGATTTTTTTATTATTATACAATGAGATATACAATGCGTCTTTTCAATTCGCTTCTTCTAGTTTAAAAACAGAGTATAGTGTCTGTAAATTAAACTTTAGTTAATTTTACGTTTGTTAAACGAGATTATATAAAAATATTTTTTTATCTCCAAAAGCAATACTTTTGTTACTCGTAATATAAGTTACCTAATTAACTTTTATTTTGTTTCAGCAACAAGCTGCTATTATGGCAGCGGCAACGGCACAAGGAACTTATATAAACCCAATGGCTGCTATCGCAACACAGTTACCACATGCAATCAACGGTATGACGAACTCGGCTTTACCGCCAAATTCAGGTATCCCCTCTACCTCCTGCAATATTTAGGTGGTATTTGGGAAGGCGCGACCGCGACAAGACCGCGACAGCAAATGAGTAAGATAAAAAGCAACTCGTCTTGGTCGATTGTCTCGGTTGCGCGTTTCCAGATGCCAACTTTATGCTTACCTATAATATATACACTTAGGCCAATCTTTCTTTACCTTTGCGTTATTAAGCTAATATTTACTTTATTGCCTTCTTTTAGCCTTACCAGACGTTATTTACTAATAAAAAAAAAACAATAAATAAAAATACCGTAATAGAAAGTGAAAGTTCTCACCACCCTGATAGCGCACCAATGAAAATTTTATATTTTATAAATGTTACTATAATATAAAATATCTCTTAATGTAAATTAATGTTTTTTTGAAAAGAGAATTTTAACCAAAACTCGTCTACTGGCTATATTTGAAAATAGCAATACCCCTGATTACTGAAAGAGCGTAGTGTTTGGTAACCAAAAGTAAACCATAAAATAGCCATCAATACCCTCTCATGAGAACAGAGGCTCGCATGACTTTGTATTACAATAACTCTGAGAAGTACACTGACAGCCTCTATGGAAATAATTCTAAACTTCCCACCCCTTAATCTAGTTATAAATGGGGAATGAATGCAGAGTAGATATTTCTAACAATTTGAACCTACTGGAAAATATATAATTTACCAGAAAACACATGACATGAAGCTAATTTATAAATATACTATTCCAACTCGACTGCAACTGGAAAGAGGTAAATCAGAAGAAAGTGAAATACTCTCTTAGGGGTCTCGTATAGTATACAGATCTTCTAAACCAAGAAAGGGAATATGGTCTGGCGTACATGAATATACCATTGTGTTTCAGGATAAAATATATATAATTGGAATTATGTGTAATAAACCCAAACCATCTTAATTATTCTCTCAAACAATCAAGCATACTTAAAGACTCTTGTTTTAAACATAATCAAGCAAATCTGGTAAGAAACGCACTTATAATTAATGAGCTGTCAACTCACAATAAGGTAAAACTTATATAGTTATCAGGAGATAAAAGTATCCAAGGAAATAAAAAAGCTAATGAATTCGCCAAAGAACTAGCATTCATAGAATCCAAACGTGTATTTGGGATACGCAAAGCCACTTCACTAAAGACCAAACTTACTGGCAACAGATAAAATAACACTCAATATAAAGAGTCTAAACCCGCTCATGATTGGTGAAGTACACAGTTAGCAGACCATATATACTCACTATTCTGAGATTAGTAACGGAACACTGCTTGCTGGAACCCATTGAGATTACATAATGATCCGACCACGTACAGACACTTTATGGAAGAGGAAGAAATATGACATTACGTTACCTGTGAATGTGAAGCTTTGTCTAGGCGGTGACACACTATTTTCGATCTAGAAGAAGAGTGTCCCAAGAACATTTGATAGGGAACATAGTACAACTTAGGAACGGGAAAATTCAGAGATAATTTCTTGAATACTAGAAAAGCAGGAAAATACAATATAATTAAAATATAATACAAATACAAAAATAAAGAAGAGCCAATCGTGCATCATATTTAAAAAATAAATTTAAAAATCGTTTCTATATTTAATATTGACGGTAATAACGCATAGGTAAAGATTTAACGCCCCAAGTGTATGATTGAACAAACATACTTTACAAAAGTATGATGTAATTTTAAACTTTAACTAATATACTAGTTATAACACTAACTATTAACGTAAGATCAATCTAGTGCTTTATTTATCCTTGCTTTATCATCACATTATATCCTTACCTATTCTTCTATACATTATCGCTTTATAACCAGTATTACTTCTGTAATATAATATGTGATTAATAAATAATGGGCCAAATTATATCTGCATACTCAGAAGGCAAAAATAATAATAATAATTGCTATTGCACGAGTTGTAACTGTTAAAATGCAAATGCAAAAATCATTTAATCAATTTCTTTCTCTTCAATCAGATTAAAATAATAAAATTCTCGTATTCATCACTCTGTGTAGAACAATATAATTATTGTCTTTATAGTAAAACAATATTCCCATTTTTTAAATAACCTTTATTAATCAGAATATATTACTTTTGATAGTTGCGACAATTTCCTCTTAGTGCGAATTAAATGTTTTGTAATATTCTAAACTAATAATTCTTAAATAATATGGTTTAGTTCTGTTTTATTTTTTGCTTAAATATTGGAGAAAACTTAATATCTATAATTTTTTAAAGTTAGTCTCCACGTTTTCGATATAGTTTAACTAATATATAATTTATTTTAAATTTGTAACTATAAAAAATTACATATGTTACTCGAATTAGAATGTCTATTTTGGGCATTCTTGGCTGTGACAAGTGTTTTGGGCTCAATAATAAAATTTACATTTTGCTCCTGTTAACATAATATCTACTATTATTACTCGTAGAATTATGCATAATCAACTCTATTATTTACAGAAAATGTTTATTAGATATTGTACAAGAAAACCGTTACAATTTTTTTTTTCATTTAAGGGTCGCGACATGTAGATTTTTGATGTCAAATAGAATTAATCCCTCCAATTTTTTTAAATTGTATGTTACATTTTTTGTAATTATAAATATTTTTCTTTAAACCAGCGATTTCTGCTTCGTCACAAGGTCAATTATAACAATTTAAATTTTCAACTTCAACATCAACCTGTATTTTAATGTTAAAAGAACCTACTGTTGTTATTTTTTCCCTTCTGAGCGCCTACTTACAATTACGTCCATTATTTGTTAATTATATTGACTAAACCAAAGCAGATATGTACAGGCACCTTTACAAACACACTGTACCTGTTTCTTCTTGTTCCCTTAGATCGGGACGTCGAGAACTACCCCTCGTATAAAATACATGACGGTCATGATGGTCCTATTCATTTTGTAGATGTACCTGTAGGAGCAGGTAACGGTCAACCTGTCAACGGCACAATCCCAAGTTTACCTTCCCCCACTATGCCAACGTTTAACATGGCAGCGCAAACTCCTAATGGCCAACCAGGCGGACAGGAGCAAGTTTATACGAACGGAATCCCTCCTCAAAGTTATCAAGCACGTAAGTAGTAGAATGAGTTAAAATGAAAATTGTTAAGTTATGGATTATTTTCATGAGTTCGAGTTTACGAGGTTTATATAAAATAAACCATATATATTTTATAGGTTTCTTAATAAAAATACTATGTGTAATTAAGAAGTTAAGAACACAGTCTTTTCGACTTGAAAGTTATCGAGATCTGGAAATTACACTTAGAGAAGATTTTGGTGTCTAAGTAGCTTGGAAGAATTGTAATAAACAAAATAAATGTTTCCAGAAATGTTTTTTTTTAATTCAAAATCGTGACGGGTTTGGAAGTTATAATATTAATAATATTAAAATATTATTACAATTGTCTCTTATCAACTGCTTAGGTATTTTCATGTGTGTGAAACTATTAGAAAATTAAAAAGGAAACAGTTCTAATAACAATAAACCATTCTGGGGATTTTTTTTAATTGTGATCGGATTTTAAGTTGTATTACTTCATCTGGCATACCCAGTGGAGAATATTACAATTATCTGTCATCAACTGCTTGTATTTTCAAATAGGTTTACCACAAGAAAGAAGTGAGGAATTATATTGAAAAATTATTTTTTTTTACCAGCAAACTATTAAATATTACTAATCATAAAATAAGTTTGAATAGGTGGGGTAAATTATATTCCACCACATTGGTTGGGTAAAAATTTTGGTGGTCTAGTTTTTGTGCCACTTTGTCGGTAAGAGTTAATTCAAGTTGGAGACCATTTTTCGTTCAGTCCACTACCGTGTATAATCCTCTACAAAAACAATACATTACTTGTCTACAAATAATACTATTTAGGTCTAAGCAAACAAAATTATAAATTGAGTGACTATTAGTTTCAGTACAATTTTTTTTTGTAGAATAGAAATAATTTTTCGGATTTATTATAATATTCTGTTAAGATTTATTTTAAATATAACTTAAATATTTTATTTAGATGCGCTACATCTGTCCATACCTGCACAAGGCTTGCCAAACGGTGAAGCAGCGATACAACATCCTGCATATCCTGGTATGCAGCCTGCGTATCCCGGAGTTGGTGAGTTATATTTCCACATTCATATCATTGTTTTAATATTAATGTTCATTTCTAAGAAAATTTGTCGAGTTATTATGATTTATATATTTATTTCTCACAATTTACCATTTACATTTGTTTAATTTAATAAAATTCTTTCAATATTTAATGCTTAGAATAATTCAAAAATATAATTAATGATTTTGAAAATAGCATAAGATTCAACGGATTTTCTTCGAATGGAGATTAATATATCATTTGCTGTGTGTGTCTCAATAAATATATGTACATTTTTCTAAGTGTTATTATCTTGTAGCTTGCGATTTACTATTAATGTTTCGATGTTACACAACGATATGTTAGTTTTTTGTTGCTTAATATTTTCATCACAAATTATATGATAATAAAAATAAGCTGTTTTCTGTTTAGAGGAAATAGCTAGTCAAAGGCTTTGTTGAGATGATATAAAACCCTAAACCAATAAAATCGTAAATCAAATAAGAGAGTAGTAAAAATTGAGTTTCATGTTTTATTGCACGAGTCAAATTTTAGAAGGACGAGTGAACTTTTAGAACATCATTGCCAAAATAATTCTAAGCATCTAGGAAATGACAAGTGTTGTGATTTATCTGAGTCTACAGGGTATTTAAGGATAATAGAAAATAAGCAAATAGACTTTAAGTAGTACTTCGAAAGGTATAAATCGCTTTTTTGTCCGCTCTTGTCTGCTCATTGTAGTTAAAGGCAAGGCAGTGGTAAACAAGCTGTACTATGTCCGGGTGCTAGGAGCAATCATGTGACCCGTAAAATTCAATGTGAAGTTTCTAAATACTGGATTTTTGCTTTTTTTGCTTGCAATGAAATATATGGTTTCAGACATTGAGAACAATAAAAAAAATGAAATGAAATGACTGTTATAACTCAAATATAGGGTGGCGCATTCGAAACAGTCCACCTCAAATATTATTGGCGAGGGAGGTTTTTGCGACAAACTCTGAGACACGTCGATTTTGTTACCGAGGAGGACAACTTCTGATTGTTAACTCATGGTTGTACGGTCATCCCCCTAAAAGGGGTGGCAACCCCTTCGAGAATCTTTAATAGAATGGCAGGGGGGGTTGGGTGGCACATCATCTGAAAGGTATTTCGATTCTCTTTGCAGACATGCTAACATTTTTTTGTTAAGTGTTAAAATTAATGTCAAAAAACAGTTTAAAATGTAGACCAAAAGAATAAATCGACCGATTTCCGTAAACAGGGCATTAAAAAATTTACTTTTCATCCCAACTAGAGATAAATGTCTAACTTATGTACTCTTACTATTTTAAATTGTTAAATTGAAGATTTTCAATAAAAACCATAATTTTAAAATGACACCATTATTTCATTTCCATGAAGACAGTTTTTTTACTTTAAAATTATTCTTTTAATTGAAAATAATAATAATAATAATAAATAAGTTTATTAGTCAGTACATACAAAATAATTACAATTTTAATAATGTTACAAAAAAAAGTACAGAGTAAATGGCAATTTAGCTCAATTCAGCAAGGTTACGAGGACCGTACTCTGTTCTTCCGCTAAAGCCAGAAAAATAAAAATAAATAAATAAAAAAATAACATGTACCTTTATTAGATGGAAAATGCTACAAAAGCAAAAACATCGAGAAGAAAACGAAGTTAAATTAACAGTACAAAATATCTGAACAGTAATATAGAGATCCTTATACATATAATAAAATATAAAAGAAAACATCCTGTTACTAACGAGGCTACACAGGTTGCACTTTTGGGACATGTTGCGTTGGATCTCACTTCAAGCAAATGACAAATAGCAGTAGCTACAAGAATTCAATGTAGAATCCTTCAAAGGGTCGTGAAACACGACTGGATAAAGAGCCCAAGCCAATCCATATCAGTGCGCAGGCGTCAGTAGCTCTGTCAGTAATAATGGTTTAAGGTTATGTCGATTGGCACTTTGATCTTTGACAGTCTTTGATTTTTACATTGTAATTTTTTGGTCAAAGAATTTGCATTGGTGTTTAAGTTTATCTCTCGTAAATTATGGCGGTTTTGTGTGATATGTGCAATAGTATTTATTCGAATCAATCAAATTTAAACAAACATATTCGGAATATTCACAATATAAAGACAGGGCCTGTATCTTATGACAAAAGTGTTTGGAGCTATAGATATTTGGAGGATGGTTGTAATCATTCGTTTCAGCAGAATAAGGCATTGATTTCTCATTTAACGGCTATGATTTTGAATTAACTACCTTACTGGTCATTGACGAATTCAGACAAGGGTCTCCTGTTGCATATATGTTTTGCAACCGAAAGGATACATATGTGTACAAATTGTTTTATCAAACAATAAAATTAAAAGTCGGTACTGTTGAACCAAAAATATTTATGTCAGACATGGCAGAAGAATTTTACAAAGCTTGGATTTTAATTATGGGTTTTGCTCCACACCATCTTTTTTGTGCATGGCATGTAGACCGGGCATGGCAAAATAATTTGAATAAAATAAAATCCATTGAAAAACGTAGCCAAGTATACAAAACTTTGAAAGTTTTTCAACAAGAAACTTCGGAATCTGATTTATTAGGTACATTAAGCAACTCTGTAAAAAATATGTTAGAAGATAAGGAAACTGCAGACTTTGGTGTTTATTTCAGAGACAACTATACCATTAATCACCAGAAGTGGGCCTACTGTTTCCGGAAAGGATATATCATCAATACAAATATGCACCTCGAGTCAATGCATATAAGGTAATAAAAGTACTTTTATCTAGAGCGCAAGACAGTAAGACGTTTAGATAAAGGATTGAATGCTGTTTTAAAATATACTAGAGACAAAAGTATAGAGAGAATAATAAAATTGACTAAAATAAAAAAATACCAATCATTCAACTACTATTTTCAAGAGGCATAATGAAGCTTTAACTTTAAAATATAAAGTGCAAACTCATATTGAATTCTGGGAAGTGATTAAAGAAGATGAGACAATTTATAGAGTACATAGAATACCTGATAAAAGCAAATGCTGTGAAGATTTTTGTCATAGCTGTAATATATGTAAACACATGTATTCTTGTACTTGTGGGGATTATATTACAAATTTGACCATTTGTAAACATATTCATTATATTGTTCATAATTATTTGATGAAAAGTAATAAACAGAATGTATATCCTAGTTCAAAGATTGATGGAAATGAAACATTTATATCACTGTGGTTAAAGATGGATCTTCAAACACTAAAAAATTAGAAGAAATGGTTAATGCAACCTTTTGGAAATTACAAAATACGGATTTAGGAAGCTTACATAATGATGTAATACATCAGATCCATGAAAATTTGAAAATAGTAATTAATTTGATAAAACTACCCCAAATTGACACTGAAAATAATGTGTTAATATCAAATAACAATCAATCTGCCAAAAGAATTATTCGACCACAATTAAGATATTCATCGACTCACAAGAAAAGAAAAGTGCGTAAAACACAGTTCAAAAGATCCACTAAAAAAGAAGCAAAAAGTATTTCGAATGTGCTAAATGATGAACCAGATCTTTTTATTTCCACATTGGCTTCCTATGATCACCAATATAATTCACTTGTTTAATTTATATTTAAAATATGTTTTTTTAAAAATATAGTTTTATATATTAAGTAGTTTTCTTTTAGTACTTAAACCAAATAAATATTTTTACTAGTTCGTTGAAATGTAAAATTATACATAGGTAGTACATTGATCTTTGATTATTTTGCATTTGATAATTATTACATACTTAAATCAGCAATATAAATCATGTTGTTTAAACAAGACAATTTATTAGGTAGAAAATAATAATAACAATAGAAAATATATAGTTCTGTTTCTTATCTTACATAAAACTCAACATAAAATAAAAACGAAATTGCAAAAAAGTTATACCAATACTGTATGTGAATTTATACATGTTTCACATATTCAGAATTGGTCATGTGAAAAAGAAGAAAAGTTTTTCATGTAATTATTTTTTAAACACAAAATTGGTTAGAACTTCAAATTTCGTGCGATCTATCAAAATGTAAACAGACAAACCTAACCTAACAAATAATTTCTACCAACGCCTGCGCAATGATATGGATTGACTTGGGCTCTTTAGCCAGTCGTCTTGAAACACCACAAATTCCATCCGTGTAAGATTCATCTCGTGCAAGAGCTCAACGAAGACGATACTCGCCGTATCCAAATTTGTGAGGAGGTGAGTAGAAGAGTTGTGGACAATCCCCACTTTTTATATTCAACATGCTTTTCTGACGAATGCACGTTCCAAATGGTCACGTGAACAGACATAATTGCAGATATTAAAGTGATGAAAATCCTGCAATTATGAGAGAAAAACATACACAGAATCTCCAAAAATTGAATGTATGAGCTGGGGATTTTGGAAATAATATTGTTGGTCCATTTTTCCTACCTCATAACTTGACGGGTGAATCTTATCTTAATTTGCTCGAAGACAACGATGAACAGGTCCCAGAGAATGATTTTTCAACAGAATGGCGCTCCACCACACTATGCAGATCCTGTGCGTGTCTTTCTAAATCAACATTTTTCGGCACTTTGAATTGGTAGAAGAGGTTCTACTGAACGACCCCTAAGATCGCCAGATCTAACACCGTTGGACTTCTTCTTATGGGATTATTTAAAAAGTGTTATTTACAAAACGCTACTCAACTCTTTAGAAGATCTTCGCCACCGGATAAATGTTTCATGTCGTGATATAACTCCTACAATGCTACAGAATGTTCTAACAGTATTGAACAAAGGTTTTATTACTGTTTTAAGGCAAATGGATCACAATTTAAACACTTACTTTAATTAAAACTTTTCTCGCATTTTTGTTTTTAATTTTTTTACCCACAATTCCAGCTGGTTTTTTGGCATTAATTTTAATACTTAACACAAAATTATTAGCATGTCTATAAAGATAATCAAAATACCTTTCAAATGATGAGC